TTAAGTTAATCACTTATATTAGTGAGAGCCTTATTGTAGTAGTGGTTAGTAGTTTACACTGTGCTACCAATTACAATATAAATTGCCATCCACTACAATATCCCCCTTTTTAATCGTTCATCCTACGTTTACAATGCTCATAAAAAAAAAATTGGTACAATTTTATTCAATTCACTTATTCTATAATTTAATTCACTTATTTATTATATAAGCTATTTATCGTTACATGTTGATGAAAGTATAAACAATATAAGAAAAAATATTCGGTTAAATTTATTTAACATCAATTAGATTGCTTCCTATTACGCAAATTGTATCTGTGGTTTTGCTGACTCCCACTTTCGGTAACATTTTTATTATTGGGATCATCCAAAACTACTTTGTTCGTATCAATTTCAGGCGATTTCCGGGAATTTTCGTGACCTTGTTCATGCAAATCGTTTTTAAGCTTTATTTTTTCCAGCGGATTCGATAAAATTTCTGGTTCTTGACCATTTGTAACTTTTTTATTTTTGCATGGAATAATTTGATTTGCGTGTCTTTTCCATTCTTTCGCATTATTATTTGTCTTTACCGACAATGATTGCCTTGGTCCACGAAAATCGCCCCGGAATTGAAAAATCTTTAACAATTACCTGCTCGCCTACTTTAAACTTATTTATTTTGGATCCGCGATAATTTTTTTCTGTCTGTTTTGCTGTTTTATTACATTTTCCTCAATAACCTCCTTAGTTCTTTCTTCAGCTTTTCTTTTTGGATTCAATAAATCCAACCGTGTACGCAACTGTCTACTGAACATAAGTTGTGCGGGTGAGACCCCTGTGCTACAGTGCGCAGCATTGCGATAGTCCAATTAAAACCGGCTTAGCACATCATTAAATTGACCCCCTGGAGGCCCCATACCTCGTTTTAAAGCGCTTTTAAAAGTCTTCACTGTATTTTCCGCTAACCCATTAGTGGCAGGGTGGCCAACTGGCGTGGTAGAATGCTGAATACCATTTAATTGTAAAAATCGTTGGAACTCCTGGGACACGAAAGCGGTACCATTATCCGAAACCAAAGTTTCCGGTAACCCAAAACGCGCAAAAATATTTTTTAACACATCTATAGTCGCCTTACTCGTGGTATTTTTCCCCATATCCACGCACTCGACCCATTTTGTGTAACTATCTACTATCACTAGACACCACCTATTCATGAAAGGGCCGAAAAAGTCAACGTGAATTCGGCTCCATGGTTGTTTCGGCCGTTTCCAAGTCACGAGCTCCTGCTTTGGCGGACTAGCGCGCGTCATCAAGCATGATTCGCACGACTTCACGACATCTTCCAAATCTTTGCCCTGACCTGGCCACCAACAACATTCCCTCGCCATGGCCTTCATTTTGCTTATCCCCATATGGGAATCATGTAAAAACTCCACTACCTCTGTTTGCAGGGCCTTGGGAATAACTAGTCTATAGCCCCAGAACAAGCATTCCTTATCTATGGACAACTCCAAGCTCCTATCAAAATATGGACGTAATTCCGGCTCTTCGCATTTTCGAGGCCATTCTGAGTTCACGTACTCGATAACCTTCTGCAATAGTGCGTCACTTTTAACGGTTTCTTGTACTTTTTTGAGGTTCACAGGCATACCTCCTCCTTCCACGTAATTCAAATACACCCCTTCTGAATTGTCATCCATGCCTTCTTCTTTATTGCCAGGATACCTTGAAAAGAAATCGGCTATGTTCGTGGCTGACTTAATGTGAGCTATATCGAAACTGTAACCTGATAACGTGGGCGCTATGCGCTGAAGTCTACTCGCTGCCATTAACGGAATACCCTTTTTAGGGTTGAAAATGTGGTGCAGTGGTTTCTTGTCAGTTACCAATGTAAAGTGGCGGCCATATAGAAAGTGGTGAAACTTTTTTACGCCGTACAGAATAGCTACTGCTTCTCGATCCAGTTGCGAATAGCGCTGTTCGGTATCCGACAATTTACGCGAAGCGAATTCTATTGGCCGCTCCTCACCTTGGTCTGAAATTTGCGACAACACTGCCCCCACACCCACTGGGCTAGCATCAACGGTTAATTTCGTTTTAAACGTAGGGTTAAAATGCGCTAAGCACGTATCAGCCTTTAAGGCAACTTTAAGCTCATCCACTGCGCGACTACAACCGTCAGACCACTGGAACACAACATCTTTTTTAAGCAATTCATATAATGGCGCACCAATACTGGCAACGTTGTGCAAAAATCTTCTATAAAAATTTACTACGCCTAAGAATGCCTGCGACTCTTTCACATTTTTGGGGTACGCGATGTTTTCAATTTCCCTCACTTTTTTGGGATTCGTATGCAGCCCATGCTTATCAATAATATGCCCTAGGTACTCCACGCTACTACTAAAGAAACT